CTCCTAGCAGGCTGCAAGAACTGGAAGGGCTCTAAAGGAGCACTGAATTTAGGTATTCTCATTATTTCCCCTCCCAGTACAGGTACAGACACACACATACTTCAGAGACCCTGCAATAATTTGAGGAAAAAACCCAGAACCAACCAACCTCCTTCATTATCCTCATTATCTCAAGACAGACTTGGCATCCATGCTCACCGAGCACTGCAAGACTGTCTGTTAATGATCTGGTAAAGGAGACAGGATCTCGCTGACCTGCAGCATTTCGGGAGGCAGCTGTTGCAAAAATAGTTGCTTTATTTTGCCATCTGTGATTTATGTTTTTGATCCTGGGCAGGAATAAAAGTATCAGTCGGAAGTCAACCGCTGGCCATCCCAAAGCTGCTTTCACCTTGCGGAACATTTCCACCTCCAGCCACACTAATAAAGTAAGTAATAACTCACCTTCCACGTTTGCTTTCCCTCCCTGGGACTTGATAGTTGTGGGTGACCACATCTACCTCTAGCAACTGGGCAAGCAACTGGTGCTCCATGCTGGTTTTACATTGTGTCTACACTCTGAGCCTTTGGTCAGTAGTACACATCCCTCCTAAAAGTGAATCTGCTGAGCTCTGCCTGCTCAGAGAGACCCTGGTGAGTGCCAGGAGCCTCTGCTGGGAAATTGCCCATCACCATGGCAAAGCTTAGCAGGGGCTGCGCAATCCCACTGATGACTTTGTGCTGAGTCTCCGGGGAGGCAAATGCTTCTTCTGCTGGTTGTGTCAGCTCTGGTGACCTTGGGATGGGTAAGCCCGGGGCTGAATTTAGGAAGAAATTAGGGTTTTTTTGAGCACGGTCACAGTGGCTGAGAGCAGGACAGAATGGATGATGCCTCCCGTCTGATGGAAGTCTGGCATGGATTCACCAGAGCTGGCCCTGCTCCAGATCTCCTGAGACCAGCGCCTTTCTCATCCCTGTGTGCTCTCATATGGTTAGTGAGGAGCAAACATGTTCAGCTTTTGGGCAGGATGGTAAAAGTGGTGGTCCCAGAAAGTGTAATAAATACCCAGTGCTCCTCCTGCAACTCCCTAGCACCCAGACCTTGAGGGAACATCTGCTTTTTAGAACCCAAGAAAACACACCTAAGGATTTTCTCCATACTTCTGCTTTTCTTGTCCCTGCAGGCAACACGGGCTGCGTTCCCCTCCAAACCCAATGCTCACCAGCCTGGCTCTCAGCCTGTCAACGTTGTCCACCCTCTTCGCCCGCCTCCCCACTCCATCCCTCCGCGCCCGAGAGACCCCAAGCCTGCCAGGCCACCTCCACCAGTCAGCAAATCGCCCATGGTCCCCACCAAAATGGTCGTCTCCCAGGCTAAGCTCCCGCCTCCAAAGAAACCTCTTCCCTGCAGCCCTGTGAGGACCCCACAGGTGAGCTTTGCTGGTTGGCTGTGCTTTCCTTCCAGACTCATAGAAATTCCCTGTTTTTTGGCTGCCTGTGGCTCTTTTGGGTTGGGCACTATTAAGGAGCTCTCACACCACCCTAAGAGATGAATCTTTTGCAATGGTGAAGAAAGCTCATTAGATAATGAGAATATTTTAAGGTAGTTTGGGTGTTCTTGTTACATGCTTTGAAGCATCTCAGCTCTGCAGCAGCGGGGAGAGAAGTTTGTAGGAGGTCATTGGATGCTCTTCTAAGGATGTTGTCTCTCCCAGGTTGTCCCAAAGCACCAACCGCCCCGTCGGCCGCTGCCTGGAAGTCCTCTTCTGGCCAAAGAGCTGCCTCTTGCACATGGACAGACCCTGCTGGTCACGGTCCCTCCTACCAACTTCAGGGTGTCAGGTACAAGTGCCCTGAGCCACCCCACAAGGCCATTAAAGTAAGTTGAGAGAGGAGCTGAGCTATCTCCCACCACTGCTGGGGTCCTGCAGGTGGACACAGTGGGGGGGTCTTGTGGGTCACGTCTGGGATGGACATCTTTTGCAAATAGGTGATTTTGATCGCTTAAAGAATCATCATCAAAGGTATTAGCAAAGCTGGTTTTAATACGACGTAGAATTGCAACTTAACAAAGTTCAATGGCAAGGTTCACTCTATTAATTACTGCACGGAAGAAACATATGAAGGAAAATTGGGTTACACTCGAGGTAAAATGATTCACAGAGAGACCGTGGGTGCAAAAGAGTAAAGAAGACCCCCCTGTTGAGTCATGAGGTTCAGAGTAGGCCCCCTTGCTTTCCAAACTCCTGATGGAGTTTAGGTGCATCTAGGTATAATCTTAGTCTCAGACTTGGAACGGTTTATGTCTAGGGATTGTACATGCAAAGTTTATGTAATGTTTCATTAGCATCAATTCAGCATGCAATCAAAGTTACCAAGACAAAACCAAAGTTACCATACTACAAGGTTATGTGCGATGTCGGTCATGTACCAAAGATCTGTTGTTGGTAAAAGGTCTCTCTGCCTCAAGGAGCAACCCTGGGAGGTGTCCCAGCTCAAGCGGAGATCACCGCCGTGCAGCCATGCTGCCGTGCAGGGAGAGCTCAAAGAAGGCTTGCTTAGGCTGTCATATGTATAGGATAAACTGGTTGGCTCGTAGTCAAATTACATGCGATAGGAAAGGTATGTGTGAGGCTCCTTTTACCCACGAATTTCTTTGTTCCTTGATAAATGAGTCTTGGAAAAGCCACCTGCTATTCATGCGTCAATCACATGATCGATGTTCCAAGCTTATACGCATCAATGCTCATTGTGCCACTTGGCTCCTTTGTGGATTTTCAGAGAACGGATTGAAACTAGAGGAGTTCATGGCCCAGCAATGGCTCAGGCCATTACTTCTTTCAGAGCCTGCACCAAACCACCGCCAGTCTGGTCAAGGGGTTGAGCACACCCATCACAACATCCCAAATGTCATTGTGGTGTGCTCTGGTCTGCCCCTCATGGTGTCTTCACTGTGACCTGGGTTTCTCGTGCTCCTCCCTGATATGGCTGGTTTGTACAGGCCAGGCTGTTGAGGAGCAGGAGAAATACTGTGTGCTCTGGGGCGTGTGGGTCTGTGCATGCTGCTGGAGCTACAGAGGAGTTCAAAGCCCACCAGCTTTGGGGCAACTGGCCTGTAGGGCATTGTGGGTCTTTTGTATGGGGCATTTGGGGGCAACAGCAAAAGGTAGGAAGGAAATCAGAGGATGTCCCAAATTCTGCTACCTGGGGAGCAACTGCAACCAAAGTGTTTGTCCAAATGGGGATGCTACGTGCAAAAACAATCCTGTGCCCATGCTCCTTCCTGCATGATGCAGGAAAAAAGCCTGCTCACCTGAGCAAGGTACCTGCAGGTGCCCAGGGTCTTCAGCCATGCCCCCACCTGGCAGGACCCCACAGGGTTTGGCCAAGGTTGGCCAACAGTGACCAAGGTTGGGACTTTGGGTCTTGTAAGGTCCTGGTGGGTTAAGGGAGATGCCATCCTTTGGGGGTGCATGTGGCCTCCCATCCCAGAGCATGGAGGGAGCTGTTGGTGTTCTGCTGGGGGACAGCAGAGTGAAGGGATGGACACTGATGCTCTCTTTCATCTTTCCTCCCCGCAGACCGATGCCACCTCAAAGGTGAGTCACAGACACCACGCAGGACCATGGGGACTGCTTGTGGGGGGATGGCCTTTGGTTAAGCACTGGGCTGGGAACCAGGAGACTGGGAATTAGACGTCCGCCTTCCCAGAGACTCCTAGATGAGCAGGACATAGCCCCTCTGAGTACCCCAGCAACAGCAGGGCTTGGGCACCTGTACCCAAGGGAATGGAGGCCGCAGGTTTTCCAGTCAAAGCTGGGAGATTAAGTCTAAGTCCTTTACAATATCACTGTTACTTTCAACTCTTGCTATACTACTAAATCTTCTGGATATGGGTCAGTGGCGCCTCAAGGTATCGTGCTGGCATCTGCTCCTGCTGGCCAGGCTTGTGGGCCATATCCAGCTATGGAGAGAAGGCACTGTGCTGGACTGAAGTCGGTCCTCATCCCCAGACATCTGCTTTGCTTTTGTTGTCACCACAAAGAGGCTGACTATGCCTCAAAATTTCTCAGTGTAACTCAATCCCTATAGCTCATCTCTTCTAGTAGATAAAACAGGCCTGTTCTGTGGTCCCAAAAGAGAAAGACTTGGCACATCCCAGCAGCCAAACTCAGCTCCCTTCCCCAGGCAGTGTAGTTTTGTCCTTGCTGCCCACTGAGAGCAGTCCCTGGCCATCCTCTCTTGAAACGGTGCCCGTGTCAGAAAGTGTAGACTGTCAGGGCCAGACTAGTGCCAGGGAGGAGGACATGCCTGTGTCCTGGTCCGTATTCATTACTTGACACCACCAACATGCTAGGAGAGGGCCAGGGAACTGTTGTCTTTCCTGGATGGGTGAGGTGAGAGATTTCATGAATTCCCAGGACAGACCATAGGGTCCATATTGGGTTGGTTGATTTGGTGATGTCTCTTGGTAGGGCACGAACCACCTTGACTGTTCTTGGGAAGCCAAGAGCAGCAACCCCTTGGGGGACATCACTCCCGCAGCTGGTGGGCTCCCAGTTCTCACTGCTCGGTGTCACCACATGCTTTGGTGGACTCTGTGTCCTATCAGGGTTTTGAGGGTACCCCAAAGGAAAACACCTCAAAGCAATACAATTTGGGGTTGTATCTTTGAGAGAGGGCATGGGTGACCGTGACAGTCCCAGGTCCCCTCTGGTCTCAGGGGCAGCAGCTGCTCTGCCTTCTCTGAGCTGTGGAATGATGGTTGTGGTGGAGGTGGTGGATGCTTGGTCTCTGCACTCAAATGAGTTGTCTCCTTTCTCTTTCTTCTCGCTCTAGGCCAGTCCCAACCATCAAAGTCCAATCAACCTCCTTCCCCTTGAAGAAGTGACAAACCAAGGACACCTTAAGCCCATCTTTCCTGAGCTGGCTCTCCTGATTTGCACTGCTGCTGGCGACAGGGGTCTTTTATTCCTCTCTTGTTTTGTTTGTCTTTTGATACCAGAGGACTATTTTTATAAGATAGAATATGTATTCAGCACAAAAACTGTAGTGGTGGGGGGAGGAGAGGGAAAATTGGTACCATGACATAACTAAGGGTTGGGATGGGTTGATGGTGGAGTTACCATGATGGAGACTCCACCGCAGCTCCTGGCATCACTTCCTGGCCAATTTACCCCACAGCTTTAGTTTCTTCTTGACATTGCACATGGGCTGGGATGGGGTGACTTGGGGTCAAGTGAACATCCAACACTGACGAAAGATGCTGACAACAGTGGCAGCAAAAGCCGTGTAATATCCTTCTAGCTACCTCCTCCTTCTCCTCCGGGCCTGGTGAGACCCCCCCACCGCCCATTGCCACTAGAGTTCAATGCTGGGCATTGTCTCCGGGCAGACATTTGCCATGAGAGAAAATTGGTTTCCAGTTTGGACTGTGCCATACAGTGCTGGGATATTTCCATGATGGATCCAAGTTCTCAGGCTCCTCCTGGCCTCCTGTCTGATTGCACAAGAAAAAACAGTGGCAATCCTGGGGCCGTACCTGAAAGGAGAAGCTGTCTGGGAAATGGTTTAATGTCTGAAGTGCTGGTGGCAGCTGGTTACCAGGGTGCTTTCAAGGGGCTCGGGAGCCCTCCATAAACATTACATGTTCCCTGCTCATGGGGCAAGCCCAGCAGTGTCTCTGTGAGCTGCTAACACTCTGCTGTCCAAAGGGGGAAGGAGCCACAAGCCGGGAACGAAAGCAGGAAGACCTCCTGCCTGTGTCATTGGCTTGCCCAAAGGCCTTGGCCAAGCCATTGCATTTCTCTGTGCCTCAGTTCCCCCCCCGTCTGTAAAATGGGGGGTAATACCTACCTCACAGGGGTGTTGTGAGGTTTAGCAAACTGATGTCTTGAAAGAGCTTTACAATCCTCAGATGAAAGGTGCTGTTGATCTGCACAGTATTTTACCGTGCCACTTTCCTATGACTTGACATGCGGCTCTGTCAGGGTCTGAAATAAGAAGAAAGGCTTTGTACAGTCTCCTGGCTCCTCCAGCTCTTTTCTTGCTCAGAAGTTCCTCGAGTCTTTAGACACCAAGGTCTTGGGGTCTCCTACCGCGTCGGTGCAAACATCCCTGGAGCCCCTTCTGTTAGCCCTTAAACCTGGGATCATTTGGTTCACCTGTGTGTGATGTCATCTACCCTGGGGTAGATCTCATCTGACCTAGGACAAACCTTTTTGAAATGTGTCCAACCAATGTAAAGGTTGTTCATGATGTACATGGTTGAAGCTTTGGACCTTGGTACAAAGGTTCTTCCTTCAGGGGCGACCCTCAGGAAACTGTTCTGGTGTTTCATTGTCCTCAGTGTTACAAAATGGGCTGCTAATTCCAGGTTGTGGTTAAGGCCACCTTAACCTAAGCTGTGCTTGCTTACTCTGTTGTGATCAGGCTTTGTTTCAAAGTCTTTGGTCATGCACATGGTTCTTCCCTGAAGCATCTCTGGTACCTCCCTGTCTTTCTTGGTTGGTGGATATCCAGGTGGGATCTAGGATCCAACATCAACTCTTACTCTGATAACAAGTCACAAAATTACAGAGTCATTTAGGTTGAAAGGGACCTCTTGAGATCACTCTCAGATGACAGGATAAATGAACTGGTCCCTAAACCTTCCCAAGGTCCCATTCTTTTTAGTGATCTCCCAAGGACTTCTGACATGGTCAGACTTGAGGGAGAGCCTATGGAGCTCCTGGAGAGGGGAAACCCTGCTCCCTGCCTGTGAATGCCCTCCCTTCTGCTGTCCAGTGTAGGTGTTAGCAGAGGGTTAAACAGTTGGAGAGGGTTTGGAGAAGTCACTGCAATGATGAAGTGGTTGGAAAAAACTTTTCTCAATGAGCTGGACCATTTAGCTTAATGGCAAAGTGTGCTGCAGTCAAAAAAAACCCCACCTTAGTGTGAGACCAGCAATTGAGTGATCACATCAAGTTGATGCAATGTCCCTGGCCTTGGATTCTTGCCCATTAATGTCACTTACCTGGCCATCACACTCCCTTTCATCTCCTCCTGTTGCCAGTGGGGAGTTCTCCCTTTATAGCTATCCAAACTTCACCAACAGTGCAGCGTGCAGAGCTAGGACACACACATTTGGGGGCTAAATTTGAGCTATTCAGGCTAGAAAGGAATTGATAGAAAACTCCATTTCTGATCTCAAGGATCCTGCAAAGACATACTGGTCTAGGACTTTGCTCAGCAGCACAATAAGTACTCAAAGATATTTTTTCACCTTTCTCAAAGACCCTTTCTCTGCCTGGGAGATGTCTTTGCATGCACCAGTGGATTTTTCTTGAGGCAGATTGGCTGCCCTGTGGTGCAGAATGACCCATCACATCCCTTTTCCCTAGGCAGAGCAGCAGGGCTGGGAACAGCCCTCCCAGTCCACATGCCCAGACCAACGCAGCTCCTCTGCCCTTGCGCTGCAAGCTGGCTCCCTGCTTGGAGTGGAGGTATGAGAAAATCATAAAGTGTGATGCACGATGGTCTGTTTGCTGGCTTTGTCTAACCGGAGATGGTCACAGGGAGTGCAGATGGATGACGTCCATCCTGATGCATCCACAAATGTAAGACGTGGCCTGTGGTCCATGGGACCGGCAGGACTTGAGGCCTGGTTAGAGAAATTAATGAATGAATCCAGGGAGGGCTTTCGGGTGTCCAGACGACACTAGATGGCAGCAGATGACCATGAAATCCTCTGCTCAGCCTTGCCTCTGAATTGTTGCTGGGATTTCCAGGGACCAGATCCTCAAGTGCAGCTTTTCTCCTTGTTCTTTCTCCCCTGCCCCATCATCTGCAAATCCATTGAAAGCTTCAGCTGGGCATGAAAGCTGCCAAGTGCCTCTGATGACCTGTTGAGTTTGCAGTCCATGCAAGGGGAGCTTTCCTATAAAGGGATCTGCTACCAGTTTGGGTACCTTTGGAAAACAACAGTAGGAGAGCAGAAAAACCACAGCCCTTCACCGTAGGTCTTCAGGATCAAAGGCACCTTCTTGGCTAATGGAGCATTGCTCAGACAGCATGTGCTTGGTGAAGGGGAAAGGGGAACTTCCTGTGGTGGTGGTCCTGGATCAGTCATTTCACTCAAACCTGGGGTCACTGAGATGTGCATCGTGGTCCCATCTGCTACTTAAAAGCCTTTCAGTCTCGCAAAGGCTTGGAGAGGTGGGTGTGGGGTAGAGGATCAGACCACTTTTACCTTCATCACCTTGGCGTTTCTGGGTGCTTGTCCCAGCTTTGCTGCTGTATAGGCCAACTCATATATCACGTCTGTTCCTGTATGCCCTATGAGGTGGAGACCAGCACCAGAGTGAGTATACTGAATGCTGTAACCTGCTTTAGCTCATCCGCATTTTTTGGCATTGGCCTGGATGTCTCTCGTGACAAAAAGTGTCCACAAAATGCTGCGTCTGCTGTGAGGTTGGGCCTCACTGTTTCCCCTCTGGTGAAGTAAGGGAGAACCTGGGACCATGATTATGAAGAAGTGTGCTGAAATTTCCTACCTTCAGTGAGGTCTTGAGCAAGGGCTGAGGCTGAGGGGCTCAGGCTAATGCTTCGCTGGTGGTTTGAGCAGTCTCTTTGCATGCACATTTCTCATTTATCTGGTGGTACTTGTACTTACCATGTGGCAGCGTTTGTGAGATTGAAATGAGGAAGACAAAAACCTCCTGGCTAGCTCAGAAGAAAGCATCTATATCAAATGCAATGGCTTTAGATTGTACACGCTGGAGGGAGCAACCATTTTCTTAATTCCCAGTAACACCTTGGAAGACAGGATGGGCCCATCCCCCTGGTCCATCTAGTCCGATATCCAATTTCCAACAGCAACAAGATCCAGACATTTCAGAAGACAGGTGGAGCAAAGCCCAGCTCCTTATAGATTTTAACCTGATCCCTGATGGAGCTTGGTGCCAGCTCTTTGCTCTGTCCTGATGCAATTGCCCTTATGTTCTTCAGTCCTCCAGCGATGGAGAGCCCACACCGCTCCAGGGAGCATCTTCCTGTGCCTTCCTCCCCATGGTACAAACATTTTCTCCAGCTTTGGTCTGATTTACCGGTCTCTGTCTTCCTCCTGCACTGAGATGCTCCAGGTCCTGTGCAAATCAAATGGGGGAGAAGTTAGGCTGGGGTAACTTGGGTGAGTCATGTCCAGTGGTGTCTCTTTCTCTGCTCGTCTCTTGCTGTATCTCATTGCCATCAGCATTCTTGCCAAGACTTGTGAGGTCCCTGCACACCAGGCACTTCGCAAACAGCAAACCTGAGAGCTTGTGATCCAGCCTACTATGAAATTAGTAGGGGCCTCCGGGCTTTCTGGACATTTTCACTCTTACCAGGGCTGATTAGGGAGTGTAGGAGAGTGTGTGGGTGTTCTAACACCTACTAGGCTTTCTCTTAACATGGTGGCCTCCTTTGAATTAAACATCCAGGTGATATGACAGGCACAGCCTCAACGCAGGAGAAAGGTCCTGCTGAGCTGATAGGGCTCATTTGGGCCCATTGTGGTCCTGGAGGTGGCCAAGGAGATATGACACTACAGGGAAACAGCTCAAGTGGCAGTGGAGGGAGCCTACAGCCATCTTCATCTTCATGCCAGCAGCTCCACCCTGAGACTGAGCTATTGGTCATAGGCAGACCTGGCCAGGACACTGGGCCTGGATTAGGTCCTGCCTTTGGGGCAGGACTGATGTAGCTCGCTGGGAGGAGGACACCATGGCTCTGTGGATGTCTGGCCCCAGAATAGCTGCCCCAGCACGTTACTGGGCTTGTTGGGACTGGCTGCTTTTCCCTATGGAGCAGAAGCAAGCTCAGCTTGCAAAGGGACTCAGGACTGTACCTCCTTGGCCATTTCAGGGGATCATTGTCGCCCACCACACTTGTGATGAAGCTGGCTAGATCTCCTTGCCCTTGGGCAAGTTGTTGCCTCTGTCTCCATGCCTCGGCTCCCCTCAGTTTGTGAAATGTAGCCATCAGTCATTCATCTGTCCCACCTATGCCCTGTCCTGCCCAGTCACCCTGGGGTGCAAGAACCACAGCAAGAGGCCAGATCCTGACCCATAGCAGCTCCGTGGGCTTCTGGGCTGCTTGGGCTCTGCAGGGGTTTCCAGGGGTTGAAGGGGGATGCAGAAGAAGGGCCAAGTGATGGAGGGGACAGGGGAAGAGTCCCCAGCAATTGAGTGGTTTCCAGTGAGCTTCAGAAATCGGGGGGCTTTTCTGGAGCACACTGGGGAAGTCACCCTGGGACAAGAAGCGTCCTCCTTGGCTCCCTGGAGCCTGAATTTTGAGGTGCACCAAATTTGTACCAGGTTTGCTGTGGGTGTCCTGGCACCAGGCAGGCTCTGTCCCCTGGGATGCAGCACGAGATGATATTGCTAGTGTAAAATGTAAAATCATCTTTTTATTTTTCTCCTTTAATGCTGCATCCTGGCGTGGGAGAGATGAGGGGGATGGACACCTGAACTGGGGCCACACAGCCACAGGCAGGCAACACACTCACGGGCATGCAGAGCTGCGGGCAGACAGACGCATGCACAGAGCCAAAGGGAAAAAAACCAAAGAAAAAGGGAAAAAAAAAGGTAGTGAAGCGGTTAATGAAGAGGCTCCTGCAGCTGAGGAAGTTGAACCATTCATCATCTTCCAGCGCCTTTTCTTTCCTTTTACTTTATTTGTCTTTGGCAGAAGATGATTGCTCTCTCCACCCGTTCCTGCCGTTCAGGGGCTGATAGCTCTCTCCTTGGAGCCAAGAATGGTCCCATTAAAAATGAAAGTATAAAGCACAGCTTGATTTTAATTCACTGTGTCAACATTTCTATATATATGGAGAGAAGGAGAGAAATATATTTATAATATTATACAGACACATGGTAAAGACTGAGGTCCTGTTGAGTCCTGTCACTGAAGTGTT